TGTAGAGGCAGACTTCCCTCCTGAGATGTGTGAGGAAAACAGTTCATCACCACCCTAAATTTAATTCGTTATTTTACAATCCGCACAATAATATATTTCAATTTTTAGAAGTTTTAAAAAATATTCAAACTGACACTTATATAAACATACGAAGTTCTGTGAAACCAAAAAAAGTGTATCAAAAAGTAATTCTAGAGCGTCAAAAATTTGTTGATCACAAAAAAGCGGAATTAAAGCAGAATAAAATTAGTAGATTTGATTTTGTCAAATCTATTTCATTTAGATTTCTAGCGAAATAAATGCCTCGTTTTAATTTATATTTGTTTAATTTTGTATTGGTAGAGAATATCCCATATTATGTTAGTTTTTACACTTGTATTGCTAACTTAATATACCTACATTTTAGAATAGGCACAGTAATTATTTCAGTAATTTTTAAAGCAATTCAAAATTTCCAAATTATTCACTAACATTTTTTAAAATATATAACAGTAATGAGCGCGCTAATAACCGCAAAATAACGCAAAAGGTGGAAAACACATTAAGTTGTGAGATAAATAGAAATGAAACTAGTGGAGATTGGAAGTTTAGCGATAGAACCTATAAATTTAAATTTTATTTATTGTTTTCCACCTTTATACGTAACAGTTTGGAAACTACCGCTGTGAGAGTGACAGTTTTAGTTGACATCCTCCTCTGATACGTCTAAAGGTGCGAAACAGTGAGTTTCTATAGCTAAATCTCTACCAGTTTCATCTCTTTTTTCTTACAACTTCATATGTTTTCCATCGTTTGCGTTATTTTGCCGGTTATTAGCGCACTTATCACTGTATTTATATAAATATGTAACTACCAAATGTGAGGAACTAAAAGAATTGCAACGAAAACATGACGAATTTAACACACATAAGAAAATAAAAAAGTTACAGTACACAAAAGAAATACACCCATAACATTAACGAATAATGAAGGTCATGCACTATCCCTAGAAGACGAAGTAATGGAGGAATGGGAAAACTACATTAAAGCATTATTTAAGGATGATCGATGATTACTACCTAACTTAAGTGCAAATACAGGACCATCAATATTAAAAGCTGAAGTGGAAAAAGCCATACACCAAGACAAAAACAACAAAGCCAGTGGACCAGATCAAATATACAGCTAATGGCTAAAATTACTCTCAAATGACAATATAAAAGAACTCACTGTACTTTTCAATCAAATATATGATACCAGTGAAATTCCATCTGACTGGTTAAAATCGATCTTTGCATATTCTTCTAAACCGAATTAACAACAAGTGCGAAGAAATAATTAGTCAAGAGCAGTTCGGGTTCCGGAGATACCTTGGAACTAGAGAAGCACTATTTTCTATGCAAACACTCCTTCAACGATGTTGGGAGGTTAGAAAACCCGTATATATGTGCTTCATTGATTTTAAAAAGGCATTTGATTGATTTCAGCTTACCAGACTAATTACCGCCTTGCAGAGCATCCAACTTGATGAGAAAAACATTAAACTTATTGCCAAACTTTACTGGAACCAAACAGCCATTATTAATACCAACAACAGAGAATCAAAGCCAATCAGTATTGAAAGAGGCGTAGGACAAGACTGTATACTATCTCTCACCCTCTTTAACGTGTATTCTGAGAATCTATTTCTTCTTCTTCAAGTGCCATCTTCGTTCCGAAGGTTGGCGATCATCAGGGCTATACGTATTTTCGAAACTGCTGACCGAAACAATTCGTTGTTGCTATTCGTAGAATCTATTTAGGGAAGCTTTAAAAGATCAAAAAGGAATTATCATAGGAGGAGAAATAATTAACAATATACGGTACGCCGACAATACTGTGATTCTAGCTGAAAACATCGACGATCTGCAGGAGCTAATCAATAGAGTTGACATGGAATGCCCAAATTGGGAAAAATAGAAATATCGATAAAACTAAATACATGGTGACCAGTAAAGTGGATATCGGCGCAACCCAACTGATATTAAACCAACAACCGCTGCAGAGAGTTCAAAGATTCAAATACCTTGGATGTTGGATTACCCAAAATCTAGATCCATCCTTCGAAATTCGATGTAGAATTGAACAGGCAAGAAACTCATTTCAAAAATTCAAGCCTCTATTATCCAATAACTCATTAAATTTGGAAATCCGTGAAAAGTTTAAAAGATGTTACGTGTGGTCTGTACTTTTGTATGGATGTGAAACTTGGACTTTAAACGCCGATATCATGAATAAAATCGAGGCGTTTGAGATGTGGTTGTATCGAAGGATACTAAAAATTCCATGGACTAGCAGAACCAGAAACGAAGAAGTTCTTCGAAGAATGGGACATCAACGAACTCTATTAAATATTATTAAGAGGCGTAAACTAGAATATCTTGGACATATAATCAGAGGACCAAGATATGAGTTCCTTCGGCTAATTCTCAACGGTAAAATCGAAGGAAAGAAATGGATAGGACGGAAGAAACTCTCTTGGTTGAGGAATTTGCGGCAGTGGACAGGTTTGACAGCGGACCAATTGCTACACGTAGCCCAAGACCGAGATCAGTATAATAATATTATAAGCATGGTAGTCGCCGACGTTCCGTAGGGATATGGCACTCTTAGAAGAAGACCAATATTTGATATAATTTCTAATATAAAATACAAAAGCCGCAGTACCTATTTTCCTGGTGATAATTTTTCTAGAACCTAATAGATAAATACTTAATCCGCTTGAACACGGGAGTCAACTAGGTTATGGTTTGCGTAGCGAACTAGTATGTAATTAAGAGGATTTTTTGAACTTGGGAGCGAAATAGTGTGCTCCGGTTGTAATGTAGACCTTTGCGGGCTTGTGGAGAAAAGAAATTGTTGGGACAAATTAATTATCATAAAAATTATTTTCTTATTTTATAGATAACTTACATGAAGAAAACTAGTCCTTGTTAAACATATTTTTTGGGAAAAGCCCTTTATTCGTTTAAATTAATAAACGAATAATATGGCTGATTCAAGGATTATATTTAATTTCAATTGTAAAATGAGATATAATGACATTAGATTAGGAAAAAGGTCGTCTAGTAACTTTTAGCACAGGTGTAATATATATACTCTATGTGTATTACTAGTTGTAGTAATACACATAGAGTATTACTATAGGGGGTTGAAAATTGAAAACAGAAATTGCTGTATTGTGGATAGGATAAGCAAAACAACGTTAACGTCTGCAAAACGGCTGCTCTTGGTTTGTTTGGAGAGCTGGGTCGTAAGCAAGTGAATGAAACAAGGGGACTAGAATGGAGTAACTACAAAATGAGGATGGAAGCTTGGCACTAGATTATCCTGACGCAATCTTCAAAACTTGTCTTTTAGAACACTCAAGCCTTTGCATCAGATGAGACACTTTTTTTTTTGTGTGTTTTGGCTTGGACAATTGTCCTTCAGCCAGTCTCAATCAAGATAAGTTTATTAATGTAGTGTGTGTGTGTGTGTGTGTGTGTGTGTGTGTTTGTGTGTGTAGAGTAATTGTCTTGATACTTAGCAAAGTCGACGTCATTGTCTTTGCTAAGAGACGCTAATTGTATCCGAACGTCTGCGGTCCCTCCTGTGTGTACCGATCACACAAGGATAGAAATTATTTTCGTTTATTAATTTTTTTTAATAAACGAAAATTTCCACCCAGGTGGGATTCGAACTCACGACCTTTAGGTTCAAATGGAGGCGCTCCTACCACTGAGCCACAGAGATGAGACACAGCACGAAACAAAACAGTGATTACTCTGACAAAAATTAACACATTACATTCGATATTATAATTTACTTCTTTACAAACAAATTTGCCGGTTTCTTCAGGCTACCCACGCCGCGTCTTATTTATAACTGCTTATATGTAACTGCTCTTACTCATTATTGTTGTTTTGTATAAATAACATAGACTTATCGTTTGGTTCTATTGATGTATTCGTAACAGGAATAAAGAGTCGGTAGTAGTCGGTACCAATGCCGGGACGCCGAGGCTATAGCACGAGAACCGTCCAAACTAGGTCCGTGTCGTTCACTGTCTGGTATTGAAGTGCCTGTCTTGAGAATCTGGAGATCGTTATTAGGGCAAGACCATCCTCTGATCGTTGGGTGGTCAACAGCTCGTGTGCAAGTGCCATAAGTCAACCCTATTGTCGGACGATTTTAAATGGCGATAGTTTAAAGTTAATTGCTACAGTAATACAAAACTCTACACTTGTTTCAATCTTTGTGACACATAATACAAAGGAAAAAGCCAAATTCTGCGTACTTCAACATAATAAATGACATAGCCAGTAACAGTTTTACGAAATAACAGGAAATAATATATTTTAAAAAGGTCTTTAGAATACAGCATTAAACTAGGTCACATTATAGTACCGTAACAGAAAAAATATTAAATGTAAAAAATATGAAAATAATTCGTACATACTTTCCCAAACAATATCACTAATAAATCACATTCTCAAATTATTCTTGAAAATAATACATGGTCGTATCAATAAAAAAATGGAAAAAGGAATAGATGATAGTCAGTTTGGGTTCAGAAACAGACTAGGAATCAGAGAAGCGTTATTTGTTTTTATTGTGTTAGCTCAAAGATGCATGGATATAAATGTTGATGTGCATGTTTGTTTCGTTGATTTTGAAAAAGCATTTGACAAAATAAGACTTAAAAAATTAGTCCGATTTCTAAGGAGAAAAAACATAGACTATAGGGACTTACGAATAATAACAAACCTCTACAGAATTCAAAGAGCACAAATCGTAATAGATAACGAACCCAGTCCAGAAATTGAAATCAGGAGAGGAGTTAGGCAGGGATGTATTATGTCTCCATTACTATTTAATGTATATAGTAAAGCCATTTTTGAAAAAGCATTACTATCCCAAAGTTAAGGAATAATGATTAACGGAAGATCTATTAACAACGTAAGATATGCAGATGACACCGTGATTATGGCAAGCTCTGCTGAACAACTCCAATTACTGCTAAACAAAACAAATAGTTTCTGTGAAAAATATGGACTTAAGATAAATATAAAAAAGCAAATACATGATAATAACAAAGAAAACAAATATACCAATAAAGGTACATTTGGAAAATATACCGATAGAAAGTGTTAATAAATATAAATACCTAGGAACCTGGTTTTCAAACAATAATGATCAAACAACCGAAATAAGAGCCAGGATAGAGATAGCAAGAAATGCGTTTGTAAAAATGAAAACAATTATCTGCAACAAAGACCTTAGGTTAGAACGGAGAGTTAGAGCACTAAGATGCTACGTGTTTTCGATACTGCAATATGAACTTGAAAGCTGGACATTGAAGCAAGAAGACATAAATAAGTTACAGCCTTTTGAAATGTGGTGTTACAGGAGGATGCTTAGAATAGCATGGACATAGAAAAAAAAACTATACAATACAGAAGTATTGCGAGAAATGTTACAATATCTGGGACACGTAATGAAGGGACAGCGATATGCACTGCTAAGGCTGACAATACAGGAAAAGATAAGAAGAGGAAGAGTGTATAGAAGAAGATCGGAGTATGGTTGAAGAATTTAAGGGACTGGTTTAAATGCAGTTCTATAAAACTCTTCAGAGCAGCAGTAGATGGTGTAAAGATAGTGATGATGACATCCAACCTCCGATTGCGGATACTTGGGAGCACTTAAAGAAGAAGAAGAACCCTAAGTATTGTATCAAGTGATACAAAAATAGATTTCATTAGTGTTCATTTTTAATGCGTTGAATTATTGTCCTTGATTAAATAAAGTATTTTCTGTGCTACATATAATAATAATAAACGATTATTCAAATCAATAAGGATTACATTAATTTACAATTTCAAATTCAGTTTACTTACAGTAACATAACCGTAAAAAAAAACCTTTAAAGCATTAACATGCTTGTGGATAATCTGTCTAATATTAACAGGTTTATTGTTTTTTTTTACAAATTATTATTTCATTTTTACAGTTTCTAATCTAATCTAATTTGTTTCGTTTTTTTTTATCTAGTATAATTTAAATTTATTAAATCGTTACACAACTCCCTTTTTTCTTTTACCCAAGCATTAACTAATTTTTTATACAAATAAAAATTTTTGATATTTTTAAAATTTATGGGCAATTGATTGTATATTCTTGGAGCAAAATATTTAATTGACCGTTGCGTGATTGTTTTTGAAGTGTGAAGATATTCGACATTCAATTTTCTTCTTGTTTCATAATTTGACACTTTTACTTTAAGAGGTATTTTATCTTTATGAATATTTTTAAGTAGCTCTAAGCAGTACAATTGCCGAACATCAAGAACCTGAGTTTCATGAAAAAGTTGGTCTGAGGGATATGTTTTTCGTTTTCTATATATTAGTTTAAGAAACCATTTCTGAGTATTTTGAAGGGTCACCAGATGGCAATCAGCTACGCCACCCCATCCTAAAATCCCATATACAAGATGAGATTGTACTAAAGACAGGTAAAGCATTTTAAGCTGCTCAACATCTAAAAACTCTTTTAAATAGCGGAATTTTGGTCAGTCTCGTATTTTTCTTATAATATTTTTTATTTGTAAGTCCCATTTAAGGTGCCTATCAATTAAAACTCCTAAATATTTTATGTATTCTGCTTTAAATATTTGTTGTTTTCTATTTATTTTTAATGAGTTAAAAGTTGGCAGAGAATTTTTATACATTGCAAAAGGTATATATTTAGTTTTTTCGTAATTTATTGTGAGTTTATTTATTTGCAACCATGTTTTTATAACTTTGAAGTCTTGTTCAACTATGGTTTTAAGATCTTCCCAATTTTCGGCCTTATAAAAAATTGCGGTGTCATCAGCAAAGCTTATTATGTTTCCATCAGTTTTTAGTTTAAGCATGTCATTGACATAGAGTGTAAAGAGTAAAGGGCCTAAACGGTCCCTTGCGGTACGCCATAATTAATTACTTCAGGATCACTTTCGACATCATCAATTTCTACAAATTGTTTTCTGTCTGTTAAGTAACTTTTTAGTAATGTCCAAATGCGTCCTCTCAGACCATACTTCTCAAGTTTCTCTAACAAGATCCCGTGAGATATCGTGTCAAACGCCTTAGAGAGATCAACAAATACGCATAAACTACGTTTATTAGACTCAAAAGCTTCTGATATTTGTGATGTTAGTTTACAAATAGCATCTTGTGTAGATTTTCTTTCTCTAAAACCGTATTGACAATCCGATATGATACTAAACCTATCCAAAAAACTCACTAATCTATTTTTTAAAATTTTTTCAAATATTTTGGAAAAAACAGACAACAAACATATTGGTCTATAATTAATTACGTCTTCTTTATTTCCTTTTTTAAACAGAGGTTTGATTTTGCCTCTTTTTAGACATTCTGGAAAACAACAATCCTGAAAACATGCATTAATGAGAAAAGTTAAAGGAATAATAATTTCTTCCTTAATTTGTTTGATGGTTTCTGTCTTGATCCCATCCCAGCCAGGAGATTTTTTGTGTTTTAAAAATTGTATTGCATTTACCACTTCTTTTTGGTCAACGAGATACAAGTACATGCTGCTTTCTATCCTATCTATGTTCCAATCCGTTCATTACAATCCAATCTGTTCATTACAAATTGGTATTTTTTGTGCATACCTTTGTCCCAATGTACTGTAATGTGTATTAAATTCATTTGCAACTTCTTTTCTGTCAATTAGTTTTTCTCCTGTTTTGGTTTTATTTGATTCAATTTTTGTATTTCCTTTTATTTTTCCACACAATGAATTAATTACATTCCAAAGTGATGAAGAAGAGGTCTTATTTTTTTCAATTCGTTGTTTTGTATAATTTCTTTTTGCAGTTTTAACTAAGTGTCTTAATTTATTTTTATAGTCTGTATATCGTTTTTTTTTTAAGTTATCTGAGGGATCTTGCCCATCCCACCCATCTCTATTTTAGTTTTGTAATGCGCGAAACTTGTTTTTATAAAATATGTTATGTGTATATGTGTACATTTTAAGAAATTAAAAAGATAATTGCGTTTGCTTATTAATTTCATATCGATCATAACATGTGTTTGATGTGACATATCTAGAATATATAGAATAAAAATCATTTACTGATATAAAATTATCCAACATTTTCAATTAAATTGGAATTCACGCAGTAGTATTAACTTTTGAGGACTGTTTGTAGTTTTAAAAACTACTAAACCACATTTTGTAACCACATCCATTAATTACCATCACTAATGGCAAAATACATCGCACGCTTCATATCTTTAATCGACTTTAATCATCTAATTAATTACATTCACTACGTCCATCTATTTATTTGTCGATCCAATAGCGGCCAACCTATGTAAACAATACGACCTGTAATTTACTCTGCCGATTTAGTTTCGCTGCGTTTCTGGCAAAGTGGCACCCGTCAGGAAAACAGAGCAAAAAACCGTAAGTAACCAACCGCCTCCGAGGATGGGGCGGCGCGTTCAAACAAGCGACTTGCAATATCAGCGGTTATGTTTAACTAACCTAGTTTTGTAGTTCTGCCGCGAAAATCAAGAGTTCCACCGCCTTCGTCAAATGCTACCGGTATACAGGATGTCTACAATATTTTGACACGTTTATTTGTCATTTTTATTATTAATGCAAGTACTACTAAAAGCTATAAATATGATGAGATTTAATTTAGCGTATGCAATAAATAGTAATATAAACCATTCTAAAAATATATAGTAAGTGTAATAAGTATTAAAATTATATGCAACTATCTACTCAAGACATATGAGCGTAGGGACAAAAAAATTCATTGGATCGTCAGGGTATGTTTTTAGCTTGTATTACTCGACTAAATGAAGAATATATATTGTAGATCCGTAGTCGCAGTTTGGTATCAGAAATTTTTCTTACTGTTATCTACATACAGTCTAGGAAGTTTATGGTCGGAATGGATTTTACGTGATATGGAGTGAGCAACACCTGTTTAAAAAGAGAGAGCTATATTAGGTCCGTTCTTTATACAGTCGAAAATGAATTAGTAGAAATAATAAAAAAGAAATTCAACGTTGCCAAACTTATTGGATTTATTTGACCTGTTGTCTTTTTAGCATTTGAACAATGTTCAAATAGATTATTAAAGATAATCAAATTTGGGCGAATTGATTTAAATGGCAGCTTACTGTTTTTTATTGAGAATATGCCACAATTTTACAATAAGTATAGCATTTTGATTTTCACTTCGGAAATCGTTTTATACCTCATTAAAAAATTTTTAAATATTTTAGAATTTTCCAATTTTTTTTGTAATCACTATTATTTCAAAATAATTTTAGATTATTGATGATACCTATATAGTAGGCTGACGTACTCAACTGGTTTGAAATATTTTGACATTTATTTGACGTTTATTTAGCGTTTAGTGTCATTCGTAGATTTTATCATAAAAACACTTTTTCACGTAAAGGAAAAATCATAATAATTCGGTTATTTTTAGTTTAATTTATTAAGTTTAATTAAATATTGTTTTGATTTAACTAAGTCTAAAACAAGTACGCCACCAATTCGACACTGCGATGAAGCCCAAGTAGCACAGATTGTAATTTTGTAGGTTATTAACAAAAAAATATCGCACGACGTCTCCAGGAGAAGTTGATTTACAGTTTCTAATACTTATATTGCGAAACAGGATGTTTTGTACGAAGGCCTGGTCAAGGATGCCCAAGTTGCACAACCACAATTATTGATCGTTTTGTGGTTCTTAATTCTACACAAAATCGTTCATTAACATCAATGCGCCTCGGACATGAGTTATTAAATGTTAGACAAGTTAATATAAGTTCAGAAACAGTTAGATGAAGATTAAAAGAAGCAAACTTTCTTAAAAACTTAGACGAACCGTCAAAGTTCCAAGTCTTGTCCAAAATCATAAAGCTCGTCGTTCAGAATTTGCAAGAACACATATTCAGTCGAATATCGTCAGCTGGAAAATGTTCTTTTCACTGATGAGACCAGAATCCTGTTATGCAAGCCATATGGTCAAAAACAGGTCTAGAGAAGAGTTGAAAAACGATTCGCCAGCTGGAATCTCGCCCAAACCATTAGTTTTATAGGTTGTGGCATAATTCTTTGGGAAGGTATTAGTTGGGAGGTACCCACAGCACTGGTGAAAGTGATTGGACGGATGACTGGTTACTCTTAGGTTTAAAAAATCCTACAAGATCATATTTTGCCATAGGTTGGTTACATTGGATATAAAAGATTTATGGTAATACACGATTATGCTCGACCACATGTTGCTGCCATAGTACAAAATATCTCGATGAGGTCCAAATTCGAAGATGGGATTGCCAACTGTTTATTCCGGATGTAATATGAATAGAGCGCATATGGAATCACCTAAAACGCCACATACAACAAAGAACTATCATTTTAAATACAATAGAGAAGCTTCGGCTAACTACACAGGATGTATGGAATGCAATTTTCCAAGGATATGTCCAAAATTTACTTACAAACATGCTGAGAAGGATGCAAGCAGTCATAAAAGTTATAGAGTGAATACTCGTTACTGATCATCTACTTCTTTCAGTTAATATGACTTATTTAAGCAATTTAAATTAGCATTTAAATTCAAAGTAAAATAATCT